CAATATAACAAAGAGTGAAAAATTGAAGGGGGTCTGAATACTTTCCGTACCCACTGTATGGAAAGAGAAACACTCCACACAGACTGTGCAAACCTCAGCATGTGTAGCGAGATGGGTTTGGATATCAGGGACCAGGGGGACGTGGCTCTTCCCCAGGGTGGTAGGGTCTCCTTGTGACCCCATGCTACTCCCCAAGCCCTGGTTTTCAGGGGTGGGAGTGTTCACTCGGAAAATCACCTTTCGAATGACCTGTAGATGGGTATTGAAGGTCAGCGGTCACCATGAATGCATGTCATGGGAAATCAAAGCAATGTCAGGAAAGACGGGAGGATCGGTTAAGGTTATGGAGGTGTGAGCTGCAAGAAAAATGTGTCGTATTCAATCTTTCTCTAAATCAGCTCTGAACAGGCAAAGCTTAGCAACCTAAGGAAGTAAAATATGTCTGAAAATCAGAAATGGATAAAAGAATAGGAGAAAAAGAAAACATTAAGGGAACAATGGAGTTACTTTTCTGGTGATGTTTCCATCTTCATCAATAAACTGTTCCTCTGAAACTGACTCGCCAGGAATGTTCCGCGCCTCCTCTCCCTAAAGCAAGACAGCGCTTCGTTCAATATGCAGACACACATATCCAAGACACCTACAAAAGCTGCACACCACACCTACAAGCACATTTCCACACACCCAGAGCAGTCATGTGAACCTGCAAGCAAAGCTGGAACTTTAAATATTAGCCAACATGCCTTCATGCCCAGCATCAGCATCTTTAGAAATCACACAACACTCCACTATGCGCTTGCGTATCTATCACACAAGCAAATAAGATGATAAAATGCAGAATAAGATGTAAACCCAAACCAAGCACCTGTAAGCATAAGGAAAAAGGAAACACTGCACAGCAAGAACCAAGAACCAAGTGACGTAAAAACATGTAATCAGATCACACTGTGTTTCTGATTGTATGAATCAGATTCAGTCCACCAGCTACACCGAAATCAGACTCAGACCAAAATCGGATCTTAACCTGACTGCCCTGCAGTTTAGCAGGCAGATACCTTGAGAATGAGACGTCTACGAAACACTTTGGTGGTGACAGTGCGCTCTTCGTCCAGGCCGGTCTCTGTTGATAACCGCTGCTAATGGATGCATATAAAATACATCTTAATATGTGTGTGATTTCAGTTCTCTCATTTAATTAGTGTAAATGACCATCAGTGTTTTCTTTCATCTGGAATAAATAAACTGTTTTATGATGTGAATGATTCTGATGACCATCTCACTGTAAAAAAGTTAAGAGTGTCATTTCATAACATAGATATGAGCTGAGGCAAAGAGAGCAGAAGAGAGTTTTAAACTGGAAGTAGCAGCATTATCAAATCAGTTATTATATGCTGGTATTTGAGCGATTATCTCACCTGGACTTTGTGCTCAGCGATCAGAGCTCCTTCTTGCTTGCCCGCCCCTGCCTTCACACCATTGGCTGATTCCTGAGACGCTGAGCTACGGGGCATGGTGTCAGAGTGCTCACCATTTTGTCGAGGTTTTCCTGAATCCCCTCTGGATGACGATGTCATGGAGTTCTCCTGACTGCAAGGGGGTTGAAATGTAACAATTTAGCTAGTAAGGAACAAATGTCTTGAGATGATATTGGGTAAGAATGCATTAAAAACAAAACCATGCATTCTGGCAAACCTGTGTAATGTTTTACTTTTATATAAACTATCATTCAAAAGGTTGGGGTCGGTAAGATTTTTTAATGTCTCTTATGCTCACCAACATTTACTTGGTCAAAAATACAGTAAAACATAGTAATATTTTGAAAAGTGAAATCTAATTATTGTGAAATGTAATTTATCATATATTAAAACGGAATTTTCAGCAGTCATTACTCCAGTCTTCAGTGTCACAGGATCCTTTGGAAAACATTGTAATATGCAAATTTGGTGCTCCAGAAACATTTCTTAGTATTACTAATGTTGAAAACAGTCGTCCTGCTTAATAATGTTATAGAAACCATGATTCGTTTATTTTCAGGATTCTTTGATAAATAGAAAGCTCAAAAGAATCATTTTAATGCATCCTTACTTAATAAAAGTAAAAAAAAATTTGAATGATAGCGCATTTTAACAGGATGTTAATTTATTATAATTTAGTTTTGTGATGCAAAAGAAATTTGAAACATCATACATTGTCTTTCTGGAAAGAGAGACAAGCTTTGAAATTTACAGTATGTCTTCTAGTACTTAAAACATTTCAAATTTGACTTATTATGATATGATTAAATGTGGGTTAATGTAAGCATAATAATTGTAACTATGTACAGTACCTGTTGTCCTGTGGGTCCATGTAGTCTGACCCGTGACTCCGCCCTGAAGCGGGCGGCTCCGTGTTCGATGTCTCAGTGAGCCAGCCTGCGGAGAGTGAGCATAACTCAGACTCAATTTGTTCAACACCTCTCACTACCTCTCTCACTTTCTCCTTAGTCATCTCCTCATTCACTTCCCTCTCACTCTCTCCGACATGGCCTCCAGACACCTCCAGTTGCTCCTGTCTTTTCTCGGCTTCCTCCTCCTCCTCTCCTCCTAAGCCAGACTCCCTCAGGACCTCAGTCCAGGGTCGCAAAGGGGACACATCATGACCTTTGACCTCTTTCAGAATCACTCTTTCCTGTCCCCTCATGCTAACGTTTGGTTCTTCTAATGTTGATGGTAGTAATGATGATGAGGGACTCTTAAGCTCTTCTTTTCCCTTGTGTGTTAGGTCAGTCTGTTCCACCGTAGGGGACGATTTCTGTTGGGAGTGAAAAGACTCTTTTTTCTCATTTTCTTCTCTCTGTTCCTTTTGTTGAGACCCCTGGTTCCCCTGTAAAAGGTGGTCCTGTTCGATCCTGGTCGTGGGTGGGTCTATTTTGGGGACAGACTGGAGTGGTACAAAGCAAACTGAGGGGTTTAGAGGAGGTTCATCATGGTCTAGGGGAGAAAGCTCAAGGGTAAGGTGTGAGTCAGGGTCACATGTGACAGCTGAGAGCTGTGTTATGAGTTTGAGGTCGTCGGGAGGGAACTGAGATTGTGCAGGATCTGGGTAAAGTATGTGTGTGTGTATTTCGGCAGTTGTTTTAGAGAGTGTGTGATGCTGGTTTTCAGGTTTGGATAGGGGCAGGTCACAAGGTCTGGCTGGGGTAAATCTGACAGACTCGTCCTCGTTGTACCGCTCTAGTCCCCAGGAGGGGCAATAAGGTGGAGGGTCAAGGGGCAGATCTAAGATGGGTTTGAGGTCATCAGACATAGAGGGGCAGAGAGGGGGTGTGGTGGGGGTGGGGTTGGAAGTTGACTGCAGTTGAGCTAGGATGTTGTGGAAACCTGGGTGAGATGATACACACACAGATGGATGGACATGAAAGGACACAATTACAATCACACACAAACAAGCACACACATATACATGCTTAAAGAAACAGTTTACCCAAAAATAAAGTTCTGTCATGAAAGTTTACTCACCCTCATGTTGTTTCAAACCTGTATTCTGTTAATGTTTGGAAAAACCTTTGTACTATTTATTCATTTATTTATTTGAAACAACATGATGGTGAATAAACAATGGCAATTTAATTTTTGGGTGAACTATTTTTTTAAACATAGACAGAGAATCACCTAAGCCCACCCTGAAGAGCAAAAGCACAGTATTTGACCACATTTCCCAGAGCTTCAGCAGACATACAGACCAACAAACACACAGTTAATACACAATGACAATGGAACAGATTCAGATCTCCAAAAACAGAGAGGTTATGATTGCATGTACACTACAGCTTAAAAGTTTGGAGTCAGGGCAATTTTTTGAAGAAATGAATGCTTTTGTTAAGCAAGGACGCATTAAATTGATCAAAAGTGACAGTAAAGACATTTATAATAATACAAAGGATTTCTATTTTGACCTTTCTATTCATCAAAGAACCATGGTTTCCACAAAAATGTTTCTTGATCACCAGCATATTAGAATGATTTCTGAATGATCATGTGACACTGATATTACAGCTTTACTGTATTTATGATCAAATAAAGCCTTGGCACAGCCTTGGTGAGCATAAGAGACTTCTTTCAAAAATATGAAAAACCCCAAACCTTTGAACGGTAGTGTATGTCTATGTGTGATCTCCCCATAGTAAAAGAGCTGTGTGTGTTTATGTCTACCTTTAAAAAACAAATGTACAGCATTAGAGTTAACGTTTGAGCTTATTATAATAAAGTGGTGTAACACTAGATTAGGGAAAACATTCACTTTTAACTAAGAGTTTTCCCTCAATAAACTCCTAATTACTGCTTATTGATAGTAAGTAAGGTAGTTGCTGTAGTAGATATGTTTAGGTATGGGGAAAGGTTAAGGGATCTAGAATATGGTCATGCAGAATAAGCCATTGATATGTGCTTTATACATACTAATAAACAGCCAAAATGCTAGTAATATGCATGCTAATAAGCAACTAGTTAATAGTGAATAGTGTTCCCTAATCTAAAGTGTTACCAAAGGTGGGTGCTACTTTAGTTGGTTAAACACCATTACAAATGTTGCATAAGTGCAAATAAGAAGCACAGCCTTAATTTTAGTCATAGTCGAGATGGGGAGATAGTCTCAGCATGGGGAGACTCAAAATCTGGCTGAATAAAAATGAGGATAATGATGTCTGTTCAGATGAAGAGCTCAATAGAAGAAGAATTGAGACAGAGGGATGGAGTGGTGAGGGGTGGTCCTGGGGGCACGCAGGGGCAATGACAGCATACACAAGGGGATAACAGCGTGGGTGGCGGGGAGAAGGAAGCAAGACTCAGGCAACGTGATACACAGGGAGAGAAAGAAGAAAGAGAAGAAGGGCAGGGTGAGGGAGAGAGACAATTTCTACGTGCAGAAATGGGAGATGACAGGCTGAGAGCAGGAGAAGGAGAGAGAGAGGAGAAAGAGAAGGAAGATTTAAGAGGAGCAGATGGCAATAGTGGACTGGATGATAAGTCTTGGGCCACATCAGGATACAGTTGTATGAGGTGTTGTGGTGGAGCATTGGGAGTGTGGGGAGGCAGAGTTAAAAAAAAAACACAAAATAGAACTTGTAAGTTAGAAAGACATGACAATGACCGTGTTAATGAGAAGAATGACTGGGGTCTGGGAGGGGGAAATGAGGGATTGTACTGGAGGAGAGGAGAGGAGAGGACAAGTCATTTTGTATCTGACAGAGGGAGGCACAGGAGACTGTCAGGAGGAGGAGACTATGGAGAGAAGGATGATCTCCTTCTTTCTCTTCTTTTTCCCACTCTCTCTTTTTAGCCCTTGCTCCAGTGCAGGGGAGGAGAGGAGAGAAGGACAGATGGAGGAGGAAGCAGATCGACAGCTTTAGAGGCAGAGGACAGCTGAGTCTTTTAACTGAGGCCATGCGCTGTGGTCCACTATGTACAAAAACAGCTGGTAACACTCCTACCAACTAATATAAAAACAGCTACAGCTGATAATAGCATGCATTTTACTTAGAAATAACTCTTTCCTGACCTTTCAATAACAGAATCAATTTCATGGCTGAGAACAGTGCTTGTTTCATGTTCCATTGGCAATATACTGTAGGGCCTTCATTAAAACCAAAAGAAAAGTGTGTACATGTGTAACAGGAAAATACTGTTTTGAGCGGCCCTTCCTACACTTGTTGAGGCAAAGCATCATGCTGTGATTGCTTCACGTCACATGACCATATACATGCATGTTCAAACCAGGCCCATGCATATGGTGTTGGGAGGAAGGAAAAGGGGTAACAGAAATGAAGAGTCTCTGAATACAGAAAGTCTTTAAAATAAGAGAGTAGTGAGTCATTAAACACACGGTGTGTGATTGGGGCCTTAAAAAAATGCTTGTGACTAGGGATGCACCGATACCACTTTTTCCAGTACTCGCCCGATACCGATACTTTTAATTTTGGTACTTGCCGATACCGAGTACCGATACCAATATTTTTATTGCATTTGTAAATTTTTTAAATATTGGGTATATACAGAAACCAAAAGAGTATGTATAATGTTAGTTGGTTAACTTCATTTATCAAATAGATACAATCAAACCAACATTTATTCAGACACCTTCAACATTTCTCACATTATCAGTTTATTGGCTATAGTTTAGAAAATGGTAATAAAATATAACAAGAACTCAGACTTAAACTGTGTCAGAACAAATTCAGCTTGATAATGTTAGATAACTTTCTCTCTCTCTCTCTCTCTCTCTCTCTCTCTCTCTCTCTCTCTCTCTCTCTCTCTCTCTCTCTCTCTCTCTCTCTCTCTCTCTCTCTCTCTCTCTCTCTCTCTCTCTCTCCCTACCGTTAAGTAACTTGTGCATTGTTTTACTTACTTGTTTTTGACGTATCCGACCGAACTACAAACTTTCCAGTGATGTCTGTGAGAAAGGTATATTCACTCGACAAGCTCGCGCATCTGCGCCGCCGCGCGCTCAATCCACTTAGCGTGATTTGCTTATCAGCTCGCGCACATCAGCTATAGTCAATACTGAATGTTCAACATTATATTCATTGCATACATATACTTCGTAGACATCCTTAATCCTAATAACTCCATTCTGCTGTCTGTTGTTCTGTTGTCGGTGTTTCATTGTCTGAATATGGCACTTAACACATGCTGTGTGGTATTGGCGTTTGGTATCGGGGCATTTTAACGAGTAGGAGTACGAGTACAGGAGCTCAGTATCGGGCCGATACCGATACCAGTATCGGTATCGGTGCATCCCTACTTGTGACCTAATCTTTTATAAAAGGCAAAGTCTCATTGTGGCTTCAAGTTCAAAATATTGTTCAATGTTGCTCAATTGTTCAAATCATGTTCAAACTATTGGTGGCCCATCTGTGATTAACACTTTGGCAAACTGCACAGGGAGGTTGAAGAGGAAAAAACAAAGGTGACAATAAAAAAGGAATGAGTTGGGGAGGAGGGGGTGAGGTCATCTAGATGGGGCTAAACTTTACCATCCGCCTTTTCCTGGCACACAGCGCTATCATCTGCAAAACTTCTGGTGCCTGAAATGTTACCATAGTCAAATATGGGCCCTTCCAGCAGAGTCACAATATCCATCCGGTTCACTTTAGTCAGGACAGCCGTCAGTGCATCCGCTAAGAAAATGTAAATAAAAGTAACTTACATTTATTTGCTTCTACTTCTCTGTGTATGTAAGACAGCAAAAAAGAAAGAAATTAATACAAAAAGGAGAGATGGTTAGAAAATGATTCTCACTTGTGGCGTTTTTCCCATCCCGACTGACCCACTTCTTAAGAAGCATAAAGCTCTGGGCTGTGAGAGAGTTTGGGTTCTCTGTGCGGATGTGGTTTATCTCATCCACAGAAAAATTCATCTCTCGAGCCAGCTCTATAAAACAGTAAAATGCATAACATTATAACTAGCATCATCTCTACACAGACAGCAAGTAAAATATAAGACAGATGTAAAGACAATTAAAATTAAACCTGCTACAACATTTTTAAGCTTTCGATCATTTTCTGCTTTCTGAGTTTAAAGGGGTCATATGATGCGATTTCAAGTTTTCCTTTCTCTTTGGAGTGTTACAAGCTCTTGGTGCATAAAGTAGATCTGTAAAGTTGCAAAGACTAAAGTCTCAAATCCAAAGAGATATTCTTTATAAAAGTTAAGTCAACCACGCCTACCTAAAACAGCTCATTTTAACACGCCCCCACATGTTGTAATGACTTTGATTACTTAATTTTAGGGAATTAATTATTATTAATTCATTCAGGTTTTAAAAGGACTCGGATCTGAAAATTCGAGGTCCACCTGATTAAACTGATTTCAAATTTGATAGTTTACACTCTATCAGTTTCTCGGCCAGCGAGAAGTTAATGTCAGTGTGTATTACCAATTTGACTATATGTATTTTCCTGGCCACGGTCAACACAATTATGATAATTTGTAAGCTCTTAGAGAGGTAACGTAATCTTTGGCAAAGGTTTTAACCTTAAAATTATATGACACCAAACAATGATTTTTGAGTTAGGGTTTAGGCACTGTTTTTATTTGAGTCTCTTGAGACGATACGCTAGATAGTACAGGAACTGCTTCGACACTTCACTGACCCTGCATGAGTTTTACGACCGCGGCTGGCTGCATAGGGGCTCCTCAGTTTGTCTCAATGGAATGTGATTGTTTCATGTGTGACTCAATAATGTAAGTGGGTCCGTTCGAAGACAGAGATCCTACAATGTCTACGTCACTGTGTGGGAAGATTTGTATAACGCCGCCCAAATGTTCACGCAAAGAAAGAAGGCGTAACTTTTATTCTCGCTGTAGTATTGTTGCTGCCG